GCAAACAATCTTGTAAAATCTGTATTGATCTTCTCTATCAATATATATTTTAAATTTGAAAATTGTGTTTGTATTCATCTTCCCCCCCCTTCTACAAACTGTTTAGTATTCTTGTAGACCCTTTTGGGACCAACACAAACACATTCCAAATGATGGTATAAGTGTATGTTTTGTTTGTGTCCCTACCAAAAAAATAGTTGTAAAGCTTTGTCTTGAAATACAAGAATAATTGAATATAGTCCTATTGTCTATGGTAGAAACAAGAAATAAGGTCAACAAATCACGTGTTGGTCTGCCGCCCATGACCTTTTATGATATAGGTTGAACTTTTGGCGCATTGTAATACCTTATGGTCTTGCCAAGTTGGGCTTTTTGATTCAACTTCATTGGCACTTGGGATTAGGCCTTTTGTTGATAGATTTTGAAGACCAATTGTTCCCTTGTGCTATTTGGTCACCATAACTAGGAAATAATGATATGGTATTCAAACAAAAGTGCACAAGAACCACTTTTTATAATCAAGATCTAAGTCCCAACATTAGGCTATTCAAGCAAAGAATAGTACCCCAAATCATGTTTGGTACACACGACCACGAGATTTATAACCAAGGGTGGCCTAGGCATGGGCATCCCAAGTGCCCAGGGTCAACAACTTAGACCTACTAACTAGTTTCAATTTTTTTTTTGTGTTTCTTAACAATCATAATACTATTCTTGATGATTGTTGTTTATTTTGTTTGTTTTTTCCTGATTCATTGTTGAATATCATAGATCCAATAATGTTTGTCACCCATAGTTTGGTTGTGGCTTAAGGTTATATCGAGTTGTTTAGACCACACAACACTTAATGCCTAAATATGTTTAGACCATTTAAAGTTACCGTGCAACTATAGTCTTAAAGTTTTTCCACGGTTTAAGACAATTAGACACCAAACTATGGGAGAGAAACATTATTAGATCTATGATTAGGGTTAGTTTGAGCAGAAATCACAATATGCAAGCCTCTAAAGTTTAACGTAGCTTGATGTTACATTATGATGCTTATATAAATAAATATATATATATATATATATATATATATATATACTACAAAAAGACATTATCAATCAAGAACGACAATAAAAATCAACGTGAGGATAAGCCGTCTAGATTGATTAGGTTCCAAACTCATAATATGTTTGATTTGTTTGCATATTAAGTACGGGCATTTTTTAGTCTTTCTGCTCAAGGTATGAAAAAACCCTAGAACCGACCATGTCTATAGCTTAGTTAGGGTCGAATAAAAGGAGTGTGTAGGAACTTAATTGTTTCTTCTTGATTAAATTCATCCGGAAATGGGTCTTCATTTGTTTTTTTTAAGTATATAATACTACATTTTTTACAATATATTCTCATCAACATCTACATGTTGTCCAACAGTCATTGGATCCCATTTACAAGACTATTGTTTTTTTCTTTCCATAAAAAAGTGTGATTCATAATGTGGCAAACATCTTTAACATGCTATTGTTTGACCTAGATTTGTTTTTTCTTTTTGGTGGTTAAAATGTCATTTCACTAAACTTGATGGGTTGTCATGAAAATGTATCACTTGTCCTTAAAGAGGTGGAGGTGGTGGGAATAATCCACGGGCAGAAGCATAGCAGCCATTAGAGAGAGTTGCGTGGCCTGCTTGCTTCTCTGCTTGCGAGCTTGCAGCCATAACCATGGCGTCTCACGCTGCAAACAACAAACTCTGTAAATCCTCCAAATCGACTCCATGTGTTATCTCACTTTTCCCCATCGTCATCCTTTTACTTTCTCAACGATCAGCCGCCGTTTCTAAGCACGTTTCCAACAGTATTTTCTCATCTCGGTTTCCGATTTTTATACTTCTTGCTGTTTTATGCTATTTGGATCGATTAGAACTGATTTTTTTGGTTGTTTTTCGTAAATTATTGTTTAGATACTTTCAAGTCCATTCCTAATCTCATTGCTGGCGCTTTTTTTAGCTACGTTGGTGTTCTGTTCTGATTCTTTGTTACGTTTAATTGATCTCCAGTTTCGAAATCTAAAATCAGAATATTTCTGACAGAAATAGATTTTGTTTGCTTTTTGCTGTGGTTTTCAATTATATTACCCAGCAGCAAATATTGCTGGAAAATCAAAAGCATCTGTATTAGATTAGATGTTCTTCACACGGTTTTTGTAAGAAAAAATTGTGATAAACTGTTATGAAGACTGAAATATGTCAAGAAAACGCATGCATTTCGTTGAAGGGGTTTTATATTTGCGGGAGGAAATTTACTATTCTTATTATTTTTTGATCTAGTTCAGTTTTTGCATCTTACCGATGGTTGATTCTGATGAATGGTGATGTAAGATGTTTATTTTTATTGTATAGATTTTCAGCTCAATTTTTTGTTTCTTTTTAGTGTTTACAAGTTTTTGCTCGATTCACTGTTAAATAGCAACTCATTTGATCTTCAGAAGGATTTTTTAGTAATGGAGGGAGTGTAGATTTATCCAGCAACTCTTGATATGTTATATGTGATGTGAAATATGTCCCCTTATTCTACCTTATGTTGAATATATTGAAGGTTTAAAGAATGATTTGTTTCCTGAAATCTTAAGAGACGAGGCAGCAGCAAGACTTTACGAGCTCGGAAAGGTACATGGCTTCAAACCTGATTTTATCTTTTTACTTTAAATCCAAATGGGGTGTAGAAAACTAAAGTTGATGTATGTATCTGGGGTAGGCAATTTCCACATTAATTGTGCTAATTCTCAACCACCTTGTCAAAATCTTGAATGGAGTAGATGTATCATGTGAATAAATGTGCTTTACAACATGCACTTTGCCTGCTCAATGTTGAAAATTGCCATTTTTTTTTTCACATTGTAAAGTTATCTGTATACTAAAATCTCCAGTGGGTTTTACCTGTATTGGTCCATTGCAATGAAGTTTTTGTTGCCTCAGCTATATTGTTTTACTTGGTTCACCTTGTTATTTACCTGTGTACTATAAATTTCTAATGCTTATTTATATTAGTCCATAAAATGAAGGATTTCTTGCTTTATCTTAGGAGAATGTATCACTGTTGATAATTTGCTTAAGATACACTTTAATAATGACAAAGTAGGAGAATCTTCTTGACCTAAATCATATCATAATTGTTTTTGTAATAATGGTAATTGTCAAATAAGTAATTTTACCTTCAAAAGGTATGATTTACATTCTTCAAGTAACAGAAGGAATGTCTAAGATTTGAATCCTTGGCTGCTGAGTGAACTTAACTTCGATACTTGGTGAGAATTGTTTTATTTATGTACAGAAAGTTATTCTGTAACACGTGTATATCATGAGCTTTATTGGTAACAAAGGAACCAAGGAATAGGTGATAGCAGAAGGCAATTTTTTTTCCTTAGGGTGGCTACTTAATCTTCCAAAGCATTACAATCATTAGGTTGGATTAATAAATTTGCATTATGTGGTTAAACTAAATTGAACTTTATCATCTGGTTTATACTGCAAAACAGCTCATCCCTTGTATAATACAGATGGTATCATAAACTTATACAGCCAACATGTACCTTTCTATTTGGTCGATCCAGGACATCACTGCATCATAATTCTTCTTGTCATCTCATTGGTAAGCCTGAAAGATAGATTTTGCTTAAATAGTTGCAACTTACAAAGTGTACTCGATGTTAATCCTAATATTGTGGACAAAATCCCGTGGATCTACCCATTTCTTCCAATGGCATGAAGAAGTCTACATAAGTAACGTCTAGCAGAGTCATTCGTGCTTGCCAAACTCTTGCATTCAGTATCCAGTATTAAGTACAATGATGCAACTTTTATGAAGTCTTGCCAAATTTGAATCATATTCTGTAATCTTCTTGTGCTTCCTTGCATTTTCTCTTTTTACTTGCTGTCAAGAAAAAAAAAAGTTATTTTATATTTTTCTCTGTAAATTACTCTAATGAGAACCTTGCATGCATGGGCTCATAACATATACCTGATTGAGTTCAAGTTGGTATTTGCTGATGAATTATTTTTGCATTGAATAACAGGTAAGTGATGCTCATGGCTATCTTGAGAGGACTTTCATGAGCCCAGCTTCTATCAGGGCTGGGAATCTTATCCGTACGTGGATGGAGGATGCAGGTTTGACAACGTGAGATGAGCACTTCTCTCCATCTTCACTTAGTGTTTTGAGAAACCTCAACTGAGACTCCAATTAATTTCCAGGTGGGTGGATGGATTGGGGAATGTGCATGGTCGAATTCAACCACCAAATGCTGACAACAAGGATCTGCTAATTGGTTCTCATCTGGTAAGGCTATAACTTTGTTCTTGCTAATTACAAGCTTTTAACGTTTTCCTTATTTTAAATCTTATTTTTCTTAATTTCCACGGTATATCTTGCACTTAGTAGTGGAGTTCCTTTTCATCTTTCAACAGGATACTGTTGTCGATGCTGGTATGTTTGATGGTGCGCTTGGTATAATATCTGCTATATCGGCTTTGAAAGTATTGAACATCACAGGAAGGTTAAGGCATCTTAGGCATCCAGTTGAAGTAAGTTCCAACTTTTCGTGTTTTTTATGTGGATGCTATACTAAAAGTTGTATACATTCAGTTCCCATATGAACATATAATTGGCGAGGTCTGACCAAAAAGAATATTTGATGAAGTTTAGTATACTAATTCATGTATCTGTTGTAGTGGACCATAAATCAAATCCAGTTTTGAAATTAGAGAACATGCAATTTAGTAACAAAATGTTGTTTTCAACACCCCCTGTCCAAAATAGGAGTGTATGTGTGACTATAAAAGGGTATTCCTTTTTAAGGTTAAAATTGATGAAGATTGTTTAGGTTCAAGCAAAAATATATAAAAGAAAAGAGAAGATATCGACGTTAAAGTACTAAAATAAGAACAAATTTCGAAGTTACAAAAGATGTTTCAATCAACTTCTATTTGAGAACCAGACAGAATGTTGGTTCCTGGTTCTGGTTTGGGTTCAACTGATTGTTTTGGATTGCACACCCACATCTGCAAATAGTTCCAACCGGTGAGTCTTGGAGCAAGGTTACTTCTGTAACCAAAATTTCACAGGTTTGAGTAAAGGAGATGACCTCTTTCCTAAATGCAATCAGAAAAACTCTTGTAAAATGACTTGGAACCTTGGTAAGAAGATCCAATGCACCAAACATATAGTTGAATCAAATCATTTAGCAATGAAAGCAATTGAAACTCAACACGAAAATGGAATTACTTGCATTGCTAATTAATTTTCTTGGCAATTATTGTCTGACTCAAAATCTAATGGCATAATCTTGAAAAGTTTTAAACATCTTTCACATTGGGATTATATTTAATTCTTGAAAACACCAAGTCTTTGATGTTCATCATTCTTACACTTGGGATACTGCAGGTAATTGCATTTAGTGATGAAGAAGGAGTTAGATTTCAATCCACATTTCTAGGAAGTGCAGCTATTGCAGGTGTACTACCTGTTTCAACATTGCAGATATCTGACAAGAGGTACAATGATTTGCTATGTGTCTTATATCCTGTTCATGAGAGCTTATGAGTCCAAGTGAAACTTACAGAAACATTATTCAGTGGTTTGACAGTGCAGAATGTTTTAAAGGAAAACTTGATAGACACTACTGAAGAAAACCTCAGTCAGCTCAAATATGAACCTGAGACCGTTTTGGGCTATGTAGAGGCAAGTATAAATCCAAGAAGTATTCATATTGAAATTCTTGAGTAAGGTTATTTTGAAACTATAAATTGAGCAGGGTATTATTTCAATCTCTTGTTAAAAGTTTGCCAGGTGTAGCACTTATAACCCATAGAGCCTGTCAGAATACCTCCCGAGCAACATTTATATTTGCATTTCTATTTGTGAATCATGCCTTAGAAATTAAATGTTTTGGCCATTTGTCATCTCCATTTTTTGGCCATTTGGGGGCAGGGGATGGGAGGCTAGAGGGTGGGTTGGGGGTGGGGAAGTCCTCACAGAGGTTGGTAGTTTCTTGTGTTAGAGATATAGTGTGCTTTTTATCTCGTTAGGCTTTTTGCATGCCTATATAACTCTGTTGCTTATATGTGGCCTTTCGTTGAGCTTTCTAGTTATGTTCCTTTTTCTTTTTTGCAAACCGGAGATCTTCTCTGAAACAGCCTCTGTGTCTCGTTAGGCTTTTTGCATGCCTATGTTCCTTCGAGTGAGGTATACTAGTATGTCTGCTTTGGTTATTTTATGGGCCCTATTTATATTGTTTGAGAAGAATGAAGTAATTACGAATCTAATTTTCTTGATGTAAGGAAAATTGAATATAGGACCCACAATCTGATACATGGATTTCAATTCGATGTCTTGGATTCATGTATCATCCCCTGAATGTTGATTTTGTATTCTGCATTTAAAAAATTGTGTTCTTTCAAGCTAGCCCCTCATTTATTCTTGTTATATGTGCAGGTTCATATTGAACAGGGACCTGTACTGGAATCCATCGGTCTTCCTCTTGCTGTGGTAAAAGGAATTGCTGGACAAACACGGTTAAAGGTATGTTTGTCATGTTATGATATCTCTGCTGAAATCATGAACCCTACTCCAGTAATCTGATTTTGTACAAAATTCCTAAGGGCAAATTGCATGAAAATGCAGTGTACTTTTTGTGTAACTTACTTCCAAAATCTTCATTTTGGCACCTAAATGTGACATCTCAAACATTTAGGTACCTCGTTTACATATGAGATTGAATGAAAAAGCAACTTAGTTTGATCTTACTCCTATTATGTGTAACGTACTTCAGTCTAAATGTTTGAGATATCATATCTGACACCAAATGAAGGTTTTGAAAGTACAAGGCATTTTATAGAAACCAAAACAATATACATTGCATTTTCATGCAATTCTGCCAATTCTTTTTGAAGTATATAATACTTTATATTTGGCAAACTCACATACACTTTATATATGCCATTAACCTTTGGTAATTTTGCCCAATTCTTAATGTGGAAGTTAAACTCCTCAGAGACGCAAGGAACCAAATGCTCTTATACCAGGAACTTGACACATGACGTATTTTGAGTAGAATACTTTTGAAGAACCCATAGGATACCTAGCGAGAATCCCAAATAACCACTTCACCATGCTTGAGTTTTATCGCTATTTCATGTTATTATCATTCATCGAACACCAAACAGTTTCTTTTTGTATAAAGTCTCCCATTTCCATCATGGTACATCATTTAGGAGAGTCCTTCGGTTAAATGACCTTAAACGAGTTTTCATTTAGACCACTACCTCTCGCACGGGTGCTTCCCTCTTTTCCAGGCATTTGTAATTCGTGACCTAATTAGCCTTGAATCTCGAAAAAAATATAGAAATAGGCGAAAAATTCGAATGAATAAATAATCAAAAAAATCTAATATGAATGATTCACTATTGACTGGGTTTTTGGTTTTTGGGTCATAATCACTATGTAGGAGAGATGGCCGGAAATTTTATAAAGAAAGTCAGAATTATATTTTAACTCAATAACCTTCAATGGACCTGCCACTGGGGTTAATCAACATGCCCCCATAAAACCTTGAAAAAACCTAGAATGTTAGTTTCTAAAAAATGGCTTCCATGTGAACAATGAAGTTGTTTCCTTTTTGCAGCTAACAGTGAGAGGATCACAAGGACATGCCGGAACAGTTCCCATGTCTATGCGTCAAGACCCTATGGTTGCTGCAGCTGAATTAATCGTATCTTTAGAAAGCCTATGTAAACGTCCACAGGATTTTATATCAAGTAAAGGACACTGCAATGCTTTTTCCGTTGAATCTCTTTCTGGATCTCTTGTTTGCACCGTTGGTGAAATATCAACTTGGCCCAGTGCGAGTAATGTCATTCCAGGCCAGGCAAGTACATTAGTGTCCCATAAGAGATATTTAGGTATATAACCTTAAATGAGATTTTAATTAAATCCATGACCTTCTCTTTTAATAGGTCCAGAGGTTATGTATTTAATTAAGAATCTCATTTGAGGTTATTGCCCAAGTGACAAGTGTCCATATGCTGGAGCATTGATGGGTCATTTAGTTATATAACCTTAAATGAGTTTTTAGTTAGGAGCATGACTGCATTTTTTTTTTAATTCAATAATCTTCAAATGACCTGTCTCTTGCGTTAAAAACTGCCTTTGGTGTACAGCAACGGTTATTTTAAAGAATAATGACCTTCTGACAGATTTTGCGGCATTCTTCTATTAGACATAAGCATTCTTAAATATGTTAGAAGGTCATGCATTTAAAAAATATCTGTCAGAAGGTTATTTTCTAAGTAATCTTTCAACATGGGTTATTTAGCTCAATGACCTTCTCCGGAAACTCATATTGCAGAATGACCCTCTAGTGTATTTCTAAGGTTTTACCAGAGCGGACTGGTTTGAACCAGAGGTAGGTCAAATGAAGGTCATTGAGCTAAAAAGATTTTGAGAAGGTCATGCTCTGAACTTAAAACTCATTTAAGGTCATCTATCAAAAACAAAACAGTTTGCCCCCATAAAATCTTGAAAATACAGTAGAAGGTTAGTTTGTAAAAATGACTTCCATAGGAGGTCATGTGGTTAAATAGCCCGAGTATTTTTTTTATTCACTTATTTTCATTATTATTATGCTTTCAGGTATCATTTACCATAGATATTCGTACCATAGATGACATAGGAAGGGAGGCTATCTTATACGAGTTGTCAAATCAGATGCATACCATATGTGATCGTCGTTCAGTTTCTTGTTTCATGGACCGTAAGGTGCAGTTTCTCACTCGTTTTTTGTTTTTCTAATTTCTTCCCAACCATATACGGTAATTCTCTTGCTCATTTTTGTTGTTAATTTGTTACAGCATGATGCCAATGCTGTAAGTTGTGACGATGGATTAAATTCACAGCTGAAATCCGCAGCTTACGCTGCTTTAAAGCGCATGACAGGTGAGGATATTGGTGATGTGCCGCTGCTTATGAGTGGTGCAGGACACGATGCAATGGCTCTCTCTCATTTGACCAAGGTTCGTTCTCCTATCATATCTATCTCCACACACTTGGTATATCCCGCTTAGAAGTACAGATGCACAGAAAGGCCTAAGCCCGAAGCCTGGCTTGGAAAATCCTGGCCAAGCAAGCCCGAATCCTGGCCTTAAAACTCGATCAGGCCAACTTTATCTGAGGGCCTGATTAAAAGCTCGGCTCAAGAAACCCCGATCGGGCCAATTTTCACACAAACATCCCTCTTATCTATCTCTATCAGCACCCCACCTCTTATCTATCTCTTCCCTACCACGGGTAGTGAAATAGAAACGGTTCATTAACGCCAAGGCGGACTCATGGGTGTTTTTTCTTGAATAGGTTGGTATGCTATTTGTGCGGTGTCGTGGAGGCATTAGTCATTCCCCGGAAGAACACGTATTAGAAGACGATATTTGGGCGGCTGGTTTGGCGATTCAAGCATTCCTGGAGACTAACTTGTAGGTTTCCCTTGTATGTAACATTGAACGTGTATATATGGATTTTTCTTCATAAGTGATGCAGCAATGATTAGTTTCATTGCTTTATTTATGCACTTTATGCTCTCATCTCATCTCATGTAGGAATGACAAAAAATCGGTTCTTTTAAAAACCGGGCCAGACGGTCTGGTTTTAAAACGAGTAAGTGGTCCTCGTCCCAAAGTTTTATAACGAACAGGTTTTTTTAAAGTCTTTTCTATATAAAAATGTTTATAATTACAATGTCTGAAATTTAGCATCCAAATACACTTTAAATATTATATTAACTTAATTTATGACAAGTTAGAAAAAAATTGAAAAATGGGTCTTGAAATTCCTAAAATTTGTAGCGGGGACTTGAAAGTCCATCTCTACTATATGAGTATGAGGTGATGTTGGGACGGGACTAAGAAGGCACAAAAAAGCCTGAGCTTCTTGTTTGTTGAAGACGGGTTTGAAAGGTCCGGTGAAGAATACTCGAGTCTTGAAGACAAGGCTTTTGCTCGTTCTCTGACCTCCACTACCATTCTCGTTGTTTAGTCGTCTAAGGTGGTGTTGGTTTACGGTTTAACAAGCTTAACTGTGTGAATGACTTAATGGACATCTCCAATGAATTCTTTTTAGTTTTGATAGAATAGATAAACAAAAGTTAAAATGTCTACAAATATCACATTAAATAAAGTAATACAAAATAATCTTTTTCTTTTTTGAGATTACAACATCATATAATATTATCAAAATATCCTTTAAATCTGTCATCTCAATAAACTTTTTAACTTTTTTGTATAAAAAATAATAACATATTCAATCGTACTGGTGGAAACAATAAAGAACAATTATCTTTTAAGCATCCAAATATTATCTTTTAAGCATCCAAATGGTGTTTGATTAGAGGTATTAAATTTTTTTAATGAAACTAAACATCTTATTCCTTCGACCATACTTGTTTGTTATTTTTTTTCTTTCCAATTCCATCATTTTTTTGTAAAACAACTAATTTTTTATCTTGACATTGTTTAAAGTGTAAAGTTCAATATTCATTTCTAACATTTGTAATTTTTAACATATACCGTTTTTTAACTCTAAAAACTCAGATTTGATCCCTTATGTTTGTCAATTCTTAATGGTTTTAGTCCCTTTGCTTTAAAGATCAGGGACGATATTGGTTGAAAATTATAAATATTAAGGACCAAAAGTGAACTTTAATATTCCTTTAAATTAACAAGAAAGCTAACATTATACGAGTTTAAGAGCTAATTATAGATTTGGTCCCTGTGTTTTGATGTTTTTCTGACTAGGATTCCTATGAGATGTCTATTATGGTTTTGGCCCATGTGGTATTCAGTTTGTCTTGGCCATGAGTCCTTTGACTAACATCGTTAAAATAAATTCGTTAACTCTGTAAATGATCATTTTAGTCCTTTGCCAACTTTTTTGCTTTTCCCCTGTTAAAATAGGAAAAAAAAAAAACAATTTTTTCATACATACACACAATGATATATATATATATATATATATATATATATATATATATATATATAATGGTACAAATGAGAACATTTTTATTTTACGAAAATATGAAAACACTTCTGGGCCTCCAAATCAATTAACATTATAATAAAAATTAGAATAAATGAAAATTAATTAGTATTTATCCATAATTTTCTATTATCCTAAATTTATCCTTATCTCTTAAATTTTGTTATTATCATCAGATTTTTTATGTCGACGTGTCTGGATAATGATGTGATAATTATATGATCTTCTTGTGATAATAATATGATAATGATTTGATAAGTTGAAGACTTTTATGATGTGATAATCATTTAATAATTATGTTATTTTTGTTGTGATAGCGATGTGATAATTGAAAACCAATGATGATCACGTCTATATTCATTGCTCTGTCTGTTTAGTATGTGATTTTGTTGTGATAATAATGTGATAATTATTTGTTAGCGACATATTATATATGTGATGTTAGAGATAAGGATGTAACCAAAATTACAGATAAATACGAAATCACATGATTATCCTTAATTAATTAGTTTATTTTCTTTTAATTTTGATTATGGGTTAAATAATTTTGAGGCCCATAAATGTTTTCACATTCTCATAAAACAAGGGTGTTATATATATATATATATATATGTGTGTGTGTGTGTGTGTGTGTGTGTGTGGACTTGAGATCATGTGAGACAAGACTGTTTTTGTGAGACACGAGTTTTACACTTAAAACTTCACACCAAAATACTTTTGCTGTGAAGATGCGGCTTTTCTTTTACCTTCACAACATTTTGTTGTGAAATTTCAACTATAAAAATCGTGTTTGTTGTCTCATGAAAACAATTTTGTCTCACGTGAACCCAAACATACATGTATGTATGTATGTATGTATGTATGTATGTATGTATGTATGTACGAGTATATCAAAATAAATAAAATAAGATATAGTTTTATTATTTGATTTGTTTAAATTAAAAAATTAATTATATTAAGAATATTTAATTTTATTGTTCTTTTTACACGATTGCAATAAAAATGCTTGTTTTTTAATGAAAGGGCATTTGGCCTAGTGGTATCGTAGTCTTTGGCCTTCTAGGAGGTTAGGGGTTCAAACCTCACCGTAAGTGAAAAAGGTGTATGAGTTTATTTGTTGCATTTGCAGTATATAATACTTCAAAAAAAATGCTTGTTTTTGATATTTTAACACCAAAATCATTGAAAATCATAAAAAAAGTGAAAACCATAAAAAAAAACGTCTTTAATATAATTAAGGGCAAAATGCGCAAAATAGTAACCTACTTTTACAAATTTTCTTATTATAGCATTCTACTTTCAGTTTTTCTTATTACAACAATGTACTTTCAAAATATTTTTTATTAGGGCATCGTACATTCAAAAATTTACCCGTTATAACATTGGAAACCTTTTAAATTAAATTTACCCATTATACCAGGTTTATTTGCCACCTCATCGTCCACGTAGGCTATCCACATGTATGATAGTGCTAACATGACATTTATTATTATAGCATTGTATTTTCAAAATTACTTTATTATAACATCACCAATTTCTATTATAGCATTGTACTTTTAATTTTAATATTTTTATCATTTAAACATTGTAAACTTAATAAAATATGCTCACTAAAAAATATTTTAGAAATTAAGCATGTTTACAAAAGATCAAACGTATCTCTCCCCATGTTCCCTTTATCCATCTCGGCCTGTCCTCCTCCTCCTCCTCCTCCTCTACATTAGCATCAATGGTCGCCGATGGCGCCCTGCTAAGAACAACCTTCCTCGTTAAACCCTGACTACAAAATCCCAATCACCTTTTCCCTATTTCAACCCAATCTGAACGAACTCCCCACCACTATAACCGCCGGCATTATCAATTCACCCAAAAATTCTCCTCTTCACAACCATCTCACCGGAAATTGACCCTTATAAAATATTAAAGTGATTGATTAACCATCAAAGTATTTGAATCTTTTAAGATTGAATCGTTGTTAAAAATCATTGTACCAACAATCTAATTATTTTCGGCATGGTGACGTGATTATTTTTGTCACCACAATCAAGTTTTTGGAAATTTCTCTAAAGTATCAATTTTTTAATATAAACGTGAAACACGTATTTGAACAATAATTAAACAATAAAATTAAATTTAGAAAACCTACGAACAAAAGTCAATGTCATATAAATGTAGAAAATAAAATGATAAATATGACCCCGAAAAATACCTTTTTACGTAAAAAAATGTAACTAGTTTTTATTATTTTAATGCTTTGAGATTTAAAATATCAAGAATTAATTATTTTAAATGAATCATGTAAAAGAATAAATACGAAAATTATTAAAAGTACAATGTTGTAATAAAAATTGGTGATGTTATAATAAAATAATTTTGAAAGTACAATGCTATAATAAGAAATGTTATATCAGCACTATCATACATTTGTACAACCTACATGGACGATGAAGTGACAAAGAAACCTGATATAATGGGTAAATTTAATTTAAAAGGATACCAAATGCTATAACGGGTAAAATTTTGAAAGTACAATGCCCCAATAAAAAATATTTTGAAAATACATTGCTATTAATAAGAAAAAACTGAAAATATAATGCTATAATAAGAAAATTTGTAAAAATAGTTTACTATTTCGTGCACTTTACCCTATAATTGATTTTTTAATTTACAAATCAAATATAATAAAACGGCATCTTATTTTATTTATTTTGATATTCTTATTGATATGAGTCTCTCTCTCTCTCTCTCTCTCTCTATATATATATATATATATATATATCAGTTTACTTTTTTAATAGAAAAAAGACAAAAATATAGGAAAACAGACTAAAATTATCTCTTGATTTAACTTAGTTAACAAATTTATTTCAACAATATTAGTCAGAGGTACCATGATCAAGACAAATTCACTACTAAACAGGTCAACATTTTCGGCGGCTCTATGTATCAGAAATCCGCCGGAAAACAAACTTTTCGGCGAATTTCAGGCGGATAAGACCGCCGGAAAAAGAGGCGCCGGTGATTAATTTTGAGGCGGATTTTTTTTCGGTCGGAAAATGGCCGCCGGAAATTTCCCCCGGTTTATATAAAAAAATCTTGATTAAATTAAGAAAATATTAACGAGTTTTTTAAAACATTTGAATTAAATTACCGGCGGACATATATGCCGGTAAATATATCTGCCGGAAATTTGATTTTATCTTAAAATAATCATTTTTATTTTTTAAATATTTCTCGCGGATATCTCCTCCGGTAATCTGCCGGAAATATATTTTATATATTTTTTAAAATTATTGTTTTTTAGATAATTAACTTTTATTCTTTAAATATTTCCGACGAGTTTATCCGCTCATAATCCGCTGAAAATTTATTTCATATTTATTTTAAAATTATTAATTTTAAAATAATTTTTCAGTAAATATTTAAAACCTGTAAATCTGTAAATATTAAAAAAAGCTAAAAAGATGAAATGCCGCTAAATATCATATGTTAAACTAAATAATAACTATCCCGACCAATTTAAAATAGCACACAATT